AAATTTAATCTATTATTTCAGTTTAGTATAATTTATCTAGTTAATTACTATTTAGTTTGATTATTATTTATTTTATTTATTTCTTTATTTAGCTTTAGATTATTATTATTATTATTATAATTGTACAGCCCTTTGTATGTTATAAAGTTGTGAAATATGAATAAAAAATATTTTTTATTATACAGTATTAATACACAGGTGATTATTGAAAATCTCGCGTGCTGATTGGTCGAGAAACTCAGATTATCACACGATAATCACCTCCAGCAATAATCCAAAATGGCGGGCAGCCGTTTTGTTGCTGTTACCGGCAAAAAAAATGTGTCTTTTATCTTCTTTTTTTTTTGAAAGAATCACCTGTGCATTAATACTAAAACGATTGTTCACCTCAGGCTCAGTTAATATCGGGAATAATAACCTCAACTTCGTTTCGGTTATTATTCCCCGATATTCATTTCGCCTTTGGCGAATAATTGTCAAATATAGCTACAAAATTTTCCGATATAACGAACACTCTCATTGGTTGAGAGATGACCATGTGACACTATAGTTAAATCTAAATGTATCCCGACCAGGAAATAAGTTACTTATAACAATAATCGTTAAAATAAACAAGTGCATGTGATATTATTATGCTTCTCCAAGCAACTACTTATCAAGCACGTGATTAGAACATGAAAAACACTGATGGCGTGATATTTTGCACCAATCACAAACAACAAAGCGGGAGCAAATATTTTGCTTGGATTTTCAGTACATATGGAGCTTAACAACAACCAAAACCAAACAACAGATATTTTCCTGTGTTTCTACAGAGAAATTACAGACTTTCATTGGAAAAAGGATTCAGAAAATACGAAAAAAGCGACGAAAAATGTTATTGCTATTCTTCTCGCTTTTTGGTAGAGAAATACAAGACCGTATGTGAGTTGTATTTGTAAAATCATGGTCAGTTTTCATGCACTTAGCTTGCTAAATAAAGTTCTTATTTCATTAACTGACTTCTCAATATTTCTTAATTGCTATATAACAAAACACTTAATGTCTGGTCCCTCGGGTAATTAGTTAGTTTTGTTTTCCCTCGAGTCTCAATGTTTCACGAGGCGAAGCTGAGGGAAACATGGGGACTCCCGGGAAAACAAAACTAACTATTTCCCTTGTGACCAGACATTAAGTGTATAATATATAATCTATATTAAAATGTTTTAGGATAGCTGTTAGCTCCTAGTATGATATAGGCCTGGGTAATACTGTGAAGAACTCTGGGAATTATTGCGCCACAGACAATTCAGTATTAAGGTTAAACCAGAACTCACCAGAACTTACCATTGTAAAAGGTACTAAAAGATCTTTTGTCTACAAATTTCCATTGATTATTTGTTGGATGGTCACCTTCCATTTGCAAGAGATTATTTACAAATAGTATTGGTTCATGACTGACTTCTTGACCCACACATTCTGTACAATGGCTGCTTCGTTTTGACTGGTAATACATGTACACACATTTCATCTCCAATAAGCTCAGTCAGGCACAATAGGCTTCAGTATGCAAGCTTTATAAGCTTACGTCAATAAGCTTATCTTCGATATCGAATTTAATACTCTGAGGAGAAAGGAAATTCAGAGACAAGATTGAAAATTGGATAAGTAGTAATAATTTGAGAGGTTATAAGTAAGCGATTTTTTAACTACCAATAAATTTACTCTGTTTCAGAAAGTAATGATTTAATATAGCAGGATTTAATATGGTCCTTTCATCGTCTTTATACTAGCGAGATACGATAGAAAAACTTTTAAGATAATAAAACTTCAACGTCCGCCCATGGGCTGTCATGGACGGCCGAGACGGAGACTATTTTTATGAGAATTACATTTTTATTTTGCGGTAATTGCCTAGAAGTAAGATAAAAAGTTCGGCTCAAAAAAGGGAGGGGAGGGGAGGACTGCAGCCCCCCAACTTTAAAACTGTTCCGCCGTCCCTCACAGGCCTGTAGGACCGGGGTGTAGGAGAATATTTGGTTTGTGACAAGGAAAGTTGCTTGTTAGTAGACCAAATGAATACCTATTTACTCACTTGAATCTGACTAACCAAATTTTATAGTTTGTTAAGTTAGTCTTCGATGAATGAATAAGAATTAAATGGTATTTTTTACCTCCTTAAATCTTCGATTAAATCATATGATCAATGTACCGCCATCTTTGTCTTTCTAATGATACCGCTATATCTTTTATTATGAAAAACCGCAAAGGTTGCTTGGAGTCCGCTAAAACACAGGTAGCCCAAGCTTGGTTTCAGTGGTGTCATGTTATAAGGAAATGTATGGGGATTCATCAAAAATTTCAATAAAATCATTGGAGCCTGAAATAAAGCCACGAAATTTTACCCGATCCTTGAGAAATAGCTTTTCTTTCGCTCTGCGTGGTTATTTTTTGAATTTAGCCCGTTTTAAGGATTTTGTCCGCCAATAGCCACACAGATGCGAAAGAAGTGTTATTTCGCAATGATCGGGTAAAATTTCGAGGCTTTATTTCAGGCTCCAATGATTTTATTGAAATTGGCGTTTGTTTTTGAATATTTTTTAGCTTTTTAAAGTGAAAGTCTAGGTCTATATATACAATAACATATCTCAACAACACAAATTTAAGCTCATATTTTTATAATCATACTTTCTCGAACTGCTACATAACAGTTGAATATTTGGAGTAAGTTTATATTTCATTCAATAAATAAATAAATTATCTGTAGAAAGATATAGAATAATTAAATGAAAGTCTTCTTTGTTTTGCCGATGGGACCCCGCGATAGGAGGCAAACAAAGCTGCATTTTTCTTGAACGAAAAACATACAATAGTTGGTTAAAAACAACCGAATTGTTAAAGATTTACAAAGCTAAATAAAGGACGAATATTTGTTGTCGTAATATGCTCTCCGTCGTGTTATTTTTCCTCCAGCATTAAAATAAATTAAGCATATCTATAGAAATATAAAAAGTTTTGAGAGAAAGTCTTTGATTTGTCGATTCGTCGAGAAAAATGCTTGTCAAAAGAAATATATATATATATACGATTGTTTGCTAAAAAACACACACCTGAATTCTTGAAAAACACTTCTTGATACATCTTTGACTACATGAAATCTTTTTTTATTTTTTATTTTTATTTATTTTTATTGTTTTTGGTCTATAACTTGTCCTAAAGCGATTTTTTTTCTGTGAATTTGAGAGTCGCATTTGAGAATAGTTTTGCTTTGACATTAAGCGGGATTCCAATGTTGCATACACGGACGGACGGACGGAGGTGACGTCAGCCAAGCCATGAAAGATGGAAAGAATCGACAAATCCAATAGGAAATTCAACGAAATTTGCTCCTAGCGAAACAGTTTAATCTAAAATGGCCTGGTTTTCAGATATAATATGTGTTAATATGTACTAAAAAATAGCTGGCTATTCCACTTCCCTTCGTGGATTGATACGGGTTTTAGACCAATTTGCGGTGATTTGACCCCCTCCGGCAACCATGATCCTTTGCGTTTAAACAATAGATTGCTTTGATGTGACGTCATAGTGAAATAGGCCAATAGCGCAGCATTACCCAGGAGTCCTCGGGACCTTACCCTACAAACCTTCGCGGGCTTCTGCTAAAGGGTATCGGTCTATTTCTAGAGTCCGATCAATTAGCATGTCCCAGCTGTCAATCAATGTCAATATTTTGCCAAGTGATTAAGAGAAGGCGGAGCTATAGCTGATTACGTGACGCAATTTGTTTTAGGCTTTTCAGCGATTTTCATACAGTATAGGTGTCTACAGTATACGTATTCACTGGAAAATAAAAATAATTTCGTGAAATGGATTTACTTCCGGTAATTACTCGGGCTACCTGTAGTAAGCCCGAGTCTAGGTTTCGGTTTTCTATCTATCTATCTATCTACCTACCTACCTACCTACCTACTTACCTACCTACCTACCTACCTACCTACCTACCTACCTACCTACCTACCTACCTACCTAC